AAGCCTAGTGGATAATCAGGACATCATTTTTTTCCTGTGCTGTAGCCATATATCCAACGTATGGGGAATAGTGTAGATTCCCTTTCAATTTTTTCACACGCCAACTTGTTCCTGGAGTGCACAGAACATAGCACACGTATCACAGGGTCCTCATCGTATCACCTTCAGCTATACCAATGTTTTCACATTTTCCATATGCCTTTTCCCCTCCACTTGCTCCATTATCATTCTTGACATCACAGTGTTACACATTCTTACTGTTTTATTTTTACCTGCAGTATTATACTCAACAAAAGCAGTTGTGGGATGAATTTTGCTCAGGGTAGTCACAATCAGTATTTTTCTGGAACTCTCTCACTTCAGACCATCTTTTCCCATGTGGTAATAATGATGTCTGCAGTTTTGATAATCCATGCTGAAATACAGCAATTGGTAAGTGGAGATTCAGACCTTGATTTTTCCCTATCACAATCAATACTCAACAGCCTTCCTGGGCAACACAGTCCACCTACGTAGGAAGTGCTGATATACATACTCTGAGGTGCTGAGAATTAGCAGGAAACCATCACAGCTCCATGCCCTGCTTCAGAATCTCTTTATTACCAAGATATCTGAGCACTCCTCTGACCTAGAGCAGAGATTTGGTTTAACAATAAACAACCAATACTGTCACAGTGCTTTTCAGCAGTGGGTTTCACAGAGCTGTGGCAGGGAAAGTCATAACACCTCTTTTTTCCCCACTTGATTAGGGAAATGAAGCAAAATAGAAATGAAGCAACCTGACTAATTGCACAGTAGATGGTAGGAGATGCAGAAACAGAATCCCAATTGCTTCTGAGTCTAGTATCTTATGGTTTGGGTAAAGGTGATGGCTTCTCAGCATGCCTTCTTGACGAGACAAAACTGCGAGACTTCTGAGCCAAAGAGGACTACTGACCTTTTCGGCCTATCTTACTGCTTTGCAGCCACTTGTATAACCCTCTTCATGTCATTTTGGAAATTCTACAAGCATATTAGGGACACCTAATTTCAAGGGCAAAAAGCACAGCTAGAAATATACAAGAGTTTATAAGATAAATGTTTCTTCCAGTGCAATGAACTTTGATGTAAGATCACCAGCCCAGGAAAATTAAGGACAGCTCTAAATTTGTAACAAGCCCACTTTTGTCCCTTGAAAGAAAAATACGATTGAAGGAGATGAGATGTATTTAACAATCTTTCAGGGACAGCAAAGTCCAGACTACGCTTGCAGTAGTCTGCAATTCACATTAGTACATTACTATATCTTGATGGGTTGTGTATTGTGACACACCTTTTCCCACTCGTCCCCCAAACATATTACTGAGGGTTATTTTTAGAGCAATAAGGCCTTAAATAGCTGAGGAAAGATTGAGAAATGCTTGTGTAGCCCCCAAGATGTGCAGAAATTTGAAAGTATTTCAGTGGTCTCGAACAAAGAGCCATTTTCCTTCCAGGATAAAAGGCAATGCTGGCCAGTAAAAGCCCAGCCAGTTCACTTGTGTACAACACACGCACCTTGAGCGTCTTGTGAATAAGCCCAGATTGCAGACTTCTGCAAAAATGAGGCCATACTCAGAGGACATAAGCTGTTGCATAACATGCAGCATCTTCCAGATGAATGGAGATCTTTATCAACTTTAATAAGAATCCTACTGCAAAATAGACATTGTCAAGTATATAAGCTACTTAAGAACAAAAGAATCTCAACTTTAAAACCTGACAATTTGACCAAAACTTGCACAGCGCTCAGAGGAGTTACCATTTTGGAGGGACATTCAGGGATTGCATAAGCAGTTTTGTTGGCAAAGTGACATGCCGTAGGCTTACTTGTGAAGATTTCTGAAAGGCAACCCTTGTGAAAATACACAATGAGCATGCATAAATAGTCATACTTCTGACATCTTCATCATATACTTTTTTCAAATACATAGTAGAATTTTCCACTACTTACAAACTTTTAACAAAGTCCCCCCACACCCTAACAAAGAGTGAGAAATACAGAGAATCCATCCAAACAAAATGCTATTTGCCTTCAATAGCCTGTGTATGGTGCTGATCCATGAAGGAACATTGCTTTTTGACATAAGAATATAAATTAAATATTCCCTAATTATTTTTTAAATGTCAGGTTTAACGCAGCTGTGTCATGGATCAATGCTACATTTCTAAAACATCCAGTGCTATACAAGAGCCATTGCTGGATTGTCACAGAAGACAGCAGCCTCCACAGAAATCATGACAAGCTCATAACTACCACCACCCTATTAGGACAGATGTGCAAAGGACAGAATAGTATTTGTTAACACGTAATCAATTACATCAACAACCTTGTAACATAAGCATATTCATAAATACACCCTTTACCTAAAATAGTTTGCAAGCCACACATTGACAGTTGCACTTATCCTGACTCAAGAATTCTGGGATAAATACTAAATATTATGAAAAAAAAAAAGGAAGGGGGAAGAAGGGGTGGAAAGAGATTCCTTAAGAAAGTAACAAAAATCCAATTCTCTATATCTGTCACACCCAAATACAAGCACATTTGCTTTCAGAGAAGGCAGAAGGATCATAACTCAGGGCCAATTTATAAATGCATCTGCCCAAAACTGAAGCTGTACTGTGCTCACTTGGTCATCTATTCACACAGTCATTAGCAATCAGCTTAAAAATACCTTTGGCACTTTAAATCAGATAGCTTAGTTGTCTTGGTCCTAATCTCTCTATTCATAGTTCAGTGAATAATGAAGGGTACAAAGCTGAACATTCATAATTGCCTCGACTAAAATGGAAACTGGGTGCAGGCCTGGCTGAAAATCCCATCTTTTGGGGGTAAAATTTATTTGCAAGCAGAACCAACTTACTGCAGATGTGTTTGGTTCACACCCGAGTAGAATTTAGCCTCCCACAAAGACTGAGCTGTGCAGTAGTTCAGTGGCAACTAGGCACCTGCTCACACTTTATTAGATGCCTACTCCTAATAACCACGCTAAAAACTACACGGAAACTACAGGAGGTCATCTTGCTACTCACAAGCTACTCACTTTTGGTAAACTACAGTTTGTATAATTCGCTAGAGCAAAAGCAAACCTCAGCTTGCACATGTTCGGATACGTTTGAACTTGTCCCCTGGGTGAAGGCAAAAGAAAAATACTGGACAGCTACTAAATGTAGCAATGAAATAGTTAAACATAGGGGAGTTGGGTCACATGGTAAATAAGAGCCACATTTTAAGTTCTGCTGAGAAAGAAGTGTGAAAATAGCTAACTGCTTCTGTTGCATGCTTAATGTCTCCAGGGGTTTCTACAGAAACAAATGCTATAAGACACACAAACATCTTCCTCATGCTGTCTAATATTTTCTAGAGCACATCACCACAGGCCTGCCTTCAGTACAATCATCTCAAGGAAGTGTAAGGACTCTTTCATAATTTCCTGGCAAAGTCTAAACACTTGATCAGGTTATGAGCACATTTTAGTACAACTGGTTTTACCCTCTAGCTCCCCTACTTTATTGCATGGTGGGACAGCATTACAAGAATCAAGTCAGAACTGCCATGTTCTAGAACTCATGATAATTACACATAACATTGAATAAAATAAGTTAGACAGGTGGGAACAATCATAGGGCACCATAGTTGAAGCACATTTTTTACATCCACTGTGGGTAAAAATTGTTCTTGAGAGGTACAATTTTGTTGGAAGGAAGACACAGCCACCGGTGTATTATTCATTTGGAAACTGCTGTTTTCCTTAAAGATTTTTGGGGGGGAGGCACGGGGGAATCCAGCTCTAAAACTTAAGAGCTTTTCATAATTCAGAAGAGATGGACAATATTTTAAACATGTTTTCTGCCTTGTCAGTGCTACAGTACAGATATCTAAGACATTGCTAGGGATAACAGTAGAAATGAGGTAATTATACCACTAACTCAAGCCTCACATAGCAGGCTACACTGCAGTTGAAGTCTTTTTATAGAAAGACAGGCAGGGGACTGAAAAATACACATTGATAAAATCAGAACCACTTCACTTACATAGGAGATGAACTCATGAACATATTATGTAAAGAGGTGTATCTACTGGCCCAGTGAAAGCTATCCATAGACCCTTAGCCTTTTATTCTAGTTGAATTTTCCTCATAGCTAGTTCTCACAGATCCTTTAGAAAGAATCTACGCATTCCCAGAAGTCTATAAACCAACACCTGGGAGGAGAGGAGGGAGGAAGACAGACCCAGAAGCCATTGTGCATGAATGTCTAACTTTGCCTTCATGATGAGGCAGTCCCACAGCAAGAACATAGCACAGCCTTCAACAATGACTAAGGTGGCCATGAATTGTGGCTGCTTAGGCATGACTGATCAAACTTTCAGGTTGGGGTTTTTCGATTGTTCGAGTGACACTACCTCTGCTAACAGGGTAATTCTGGCAAACCAGAAATGTACTTTGTTATCTGTGGGAATTTAAAAGGGGCTTTTTCCCCTCCTTACACTAAAAATTTTTAAATTTTTTGCTCAGGAAGCATCTTCTGCCACTTACATCAGCTTCTTCTGACGAGCCACTACTGCGAGCCTAGAGTCTTTGATGTCGGTAACTCACTGTAAATCTCAGTCGGGTTAAAACCTAAAACAATGGACTCCTACGGAAAAGAAGGTATTTCAAAAGAAGAAATCATCTGGAGGAACTACATAGCCTGTAGTAATGATAGGCCAGCAACAATGAGTAAGAAAGAGCAACATGCAACATCCTCTTATAGGACTACCATCAGCAGATGCTTGCACTGAAGACTCTTGAACTCACCTGGAAGAACTTGCTGAAGAGAGCGGAAGTCTCAAGACATCTACGTACTAAATATCAAAATGATTTAGTGCTATACTCTTACTGAACCTGCAGGGTACAGACAGTGACCAGAAGCCTTTTAGGGATTATTATTTGTTTCAAGAAAACACACAAGCAGATCAGATGCTAACATTTATTTTTATTTATAAAAAACTGTAGAATGTATTAAATACAAACATTTGGAAAAAGCAAATCAAGGCTTCACTAAGATGCCCAAGAAGAGGAAGACAGAGAATCAAGAAGCTTACCAAATTTAGAGTTTTTAAACTAGCTGAAGTAATTACTATAATTTTTCACCAACTCATTTATAGGCAGTGACCATTATAGCAACCAATGTTATTACTGTCTTTTTAAAACAAAAAAGAAACCAAAAACACAAAAAAATCCAGAGATATGATTTGCCATATCTTCCCAATCAACCACAAAATGTAAGGAAGAAACTCTTTCCAGGTTAAAAATCAGGGTAATAAATACTAATGCATTTACCCATTACCTACATAGTATAACACAAATTTGCTTATAATCACACATGGATATCAAGTTTACAAAAAAATCGATTATACATTTCAAATCTGGATATTCAATAAGGTATTATAAACTTTATACATTTTCCAGTGGACGTCAAAATGAGGACAATGTTTTGAAGTACAGAAACACAAAAAAAACCAAACGCATCATCTACACTATATAGGACAACTACTAAAATGTGGACTGGGGTCTAATCATATTCCAGATAGCTGTAAAGTCCTACAAACTGCCACTGAAAGACTGGTTGGAAGACAGATCACGTCACGTTCTTGGACAATGTTGGCTCCTCTTGTTTTCTAGGAGACCAAAGGTTAGAACTGTAGCTGCTGTCTCTTCTGCAGCTTAAAGTGCTAAAGGAGTAAACTCCGCTTTCCTGCTCCCTATATAGACAAACCAGATTCAAGTTTTCTTAGACTGCTGTTGCTCTTTTACCACTCTCAAATGTGGTACATACTATATATAGCTCACTAAACAAAATCTAGGAGCAAGTGTCTACAGAAAATACCTTCTCTGGTCTTTTAAATAAGAGAGAGAAGCATTTCTACTTGTTGGCAATACGGCACCCCTCTGCCTTCCTGATTTACCCTGTATCTGCTTTCTAGTTGCAGCATAATGCACATAGTTGATGTGGCTGTATAGCCTTAAAGCCAATTTGTGTAACAAAAATTCCTGTTTCTCGGAATGAGTCTTTGAGGATTACTAACTATTAAAAAAATCCAGTAGAGAACAATCCTAGACACAGAAACACTAAGAGATGTCTCCCCGTTCTGTCTTGTATTTTTCAGAATGCAAAAAAGTACTTGCCAACTCATCAGCACTAACAACATTACTATTGCAAGGACAGAAGACGACTGACAAAAATGTTATGGAATACCTACCACCATCAGCAGTCAGCAACAGGATGACTCGGCTGCATACCTACAAGAACGTTAGCAGAATTACTTCTGACAGCTACCTTTTGGGGATGGGCTTAAATTACACTATGTATCCTATTAACGATGAGAGAGTTGAATAGAGAGACCAACATCCTAAACTTGATGACACAGGATCCTGAATCCATGTGTCAGACCCTGTTACCGAAGAAAATATTTTCTACCACGTCCACAAAAGGTAGTAACCCACTGCTCAAAACACAGAGGGTACTGCCAATCTGGGCCCTGCTGCACTGAAACTCCTAAACAGCCAATTATTTGCAGACCAACTTCTCTGAGGAGAGGGGGGAAAAAAAGGCCAATACTTCTCTTACCAAACAAACACAGAGCATGTCTGCTAGATTTCCCAAATAGGCAGTGATTCATTTAGCTATAAGCTTGGAAACAAACACAGTGTATCTCCCAGTACCTTTCCCAAGTCCAATAGTATTCCTTACTGCAATACAGATATAATTATCCTGCTCTCAACTGTGTTCAATACACTTGGAAGCACTTAGTGCAATGAGAATTATGATGGAGGCTGGCACTCAGATAAAGTAGTAAGGCTATTTGCAACCCATCTCCCTTTTTTTTCCCCCCTCCTTTTGGCAATAATAGATTTGTAAGATCCTTATTTCACATGATATAAAATATATTTTAGAAGACTTTTAACAAGGCTATGGCTTATTTGATACCAAAAGCCTCACTCCCATTCAAAGAATTCACTGTCATTCAAAGTAAGCAGGAAAAAAAAAAATCACATGAAGAGGAATTTGGTGAAAGGATGGGAGGTCAGAGTAACAAAGGTATTGAAAGAGATGACAACAGTCCATTTAGTGTGCTGACTGCCTCTCACTCTCAATACTCAGTTTTTAGCACTATATACACTGTATATTTTAAAAAGTTAGGGTTTTTTAAATTATTATTAACATGGCTGTTTGGGAGGGGTGTGTTTTTTTTTTTTTTTGAATCTTCGAGAAAAATAAACCCTTCATCCTCTGAGTCAAAGACAAGAAACCATGACCGTGGCATCAATGCTATGCTCCATTACACCATCAGAAATCAATACACTGCCCAGCATCTCTAATTTGAGGTTACAGTCTTAGAAACATAATACATTTAAGTTACTCAATGGCTCCATTCCAGATATACACTATGTTACCAAGAGCAGAGTATGGCCCCTAGTTTTAACCTAGTTTAAAATATTTTACAAATACATTCCTATAAATCTGACAACAGCAAAACATATAGTGGTTTTAAAATAGCAGAAAGTCAAACATCTGAATTTTTAAACTAGTGAGAAATATGGGCGGTTTTAAAAGAAAACAATAAACTTCTCAAATACAGACATTTGTGAAATGTACATGCACACACACACACCCTCTCTCACACACACTTACTTCTCTCAGAGTGAAATTAAGATTACACAAGGCAATTTTCAAGGTTGCATTTACAACCACAATGATAAGAACAGCATTTTTGAGGTAGCTAAAGTCAAAGAGCAAACCACAGCACAAGCAAAGAAACAGGTGCTCACACTCACACCCAGCCCGCTCTTTGGAGACACATTATCATGTGCACACGAGTGTGTACTGAAGAGGCACGCGTTCCACAGGGAATGCAGTTCAGTGGCACTGGAAATCTGACAAACTTCTCTCCAGAGAAGTTTGTTGGGAGACCAGATGCACAATCAAGTAGCCAGGGCTTAAATCAGTGCACATCAGCTGAGCTGTGGTAACAGTCTCGGTGCTGTCTGTCTGCGCCAGTTCTACCAACAGCTCTGTCTCACGTGCACTGAAGCAAGCACAACTGTGGCAGTTGATGTTATTACTCAGAGCTGTCTGTCCCACTTCTCCCCTAGATGCTGCTGTTGGTAGAAAGGGACATGTACCCATTATCTCACCTGCTCCAGTTTACAGCAGAGCATTCAGGTATAAGCCCATCTCCAGGGTATTACTTGCCAATGGACGGTGAACTGGAGCAGCGAAGGCATAGATTTAAGTTCCTTTCTGCAGATACAATAACATCTTAATGAACAGGGCAGAAACGTCAAACTGCCACAACTTTAATCACCAGAGTTCATCTCTCAGAGCCCTTTGCTAGCCTACAACAAAAGGAGCTGAGCTCCACAGGGCAAACGCCAGGCTACACAGGCATAAGGGGAGAATAGCTGTGGCTGACAAGACTGGCTTAGCCACAGTAACTTACTTGATCATGTCTCTGAGCACACACAGAGCTTGATGCTGCTCAAACTATAAAACTGTGTCAAATACACTCACACACACACATACAGTATTGTCATCAAGAAGCTTTCTACAAATCAACTCTGCATGATTACTGCTGGGAGTCTTGAAGGTGGGATGGAAGTTACGGTGAGATGTTCTTCAGCAGGTAGAAGAAAAAAGAAAAACAACTTTTTATGATTAGGTCTCTGTTGTGTAGTTGTTGTATGAGAGGGATGGCACAGATGAGAAGTTGTTATTCCACTGTCTTCCCCCAGTACTCTGCTGTAACTCTGCCTGCTCTTTGTATTTGCTCAGAAGATTTTTGGCTTCTTGCAGATCCTGAGAAGAATTTTCCCCATATTCTTCTTTCAGCCACTGCCGGAACTGGAGAAATTGAACATGCAGACATGACATGATGAAACAACAACATGACAGTGATGCAGAAGTAATAGTCTCTCCTGCCCTGCAGACACCCTATTCAAGATCCTATAGGAACAAAAGCAAGCTAAAGAAAAGCACTCCTAGTATCTCATGTCCTTCAACAGCAGCACAGAATACATTAGCACAAGAACATATAGAGTCATTGAGATACCTTACTTCCCTAAAATGGCACACTTGCATAAGAGCATGGCTGGGCTGGAGTAATACAGAGTAAGGAACACCCATTGAACAAGGACATCTTGGACCTAAGAATGCCCCCTCCTCCAGTTCCATCTACAAACAAGATGTAGAAATTCTGCAAGCTCCTGCAATCAGCTAACTCATCCAAATCACAATGGGATGCAAGAACTTCAGAAGGCTGAAGATAAGAAAGTGAACCACTCATATCGCTGCTCCATCCTGAACCAGTAAGCACTAGTAGTAAAAACAGCACTGTAGATATCAGGAAAGGTATATTTTGGAGGAAAAAGGCCACGAGTTTTTAAAGCTACAGGATAAGACCCTATGTATTATTGACATGAATGACTGAATATGGTATATGGTAACAGCTGTAGCCGGTCCTTTTGAAGTAAATGCCGAGAAAAGAATGCAATGGCAGGGCAAGCAGGCTGGGATGCTTTCCCTGGTCATGGTCCCAACTTCCAGCAATTCTCAGCTCAGGTACTTTTGGAGGCTAAAATAGTGTATTTGTGTTTCATAGCAACAAATAGTTTTCTGCCATGAGATCACTTTCCGAATCCACAAATTTTTGTCACAAGGTGTCTGGATACCACCAAGCTCCACAGTTGAACTACATATTGCATTAAAAATGCAATTCCTTGTCTTTGATTGGGACTCACCTAGCTCCATCTCACACTATGAGGAAGAGCAGAAACCACACCTGTTCACCTTCTTTATTCCACTCAACTTTTAGACCTTTATCACATTCTTCTCCATCATTTTTTTGCAGCTGAAGAATTTTAGTGTAATTTGTCATTCCTGACAATCTTGTTGCTCTTCTCTGTAGAAGCAGCAAGTAGATACAGACCTCAACTGTTCTGTACCACTGGAGACATCATTTTGTGATAATTTTTGTAGCCTCACCTTCCACAGCTTTGTTCTGTTTGAGGCTTATCATATATAACTTAATCCATAAAGAGCATTAACATGGAAAACTGGAAAACCAGACCTCAGCATAGTTACTTCCCCCCGTGTTCATAAAAGATCATAAGGTCATAAATGAAATCTGAAGCCTCGGGCTTCCACATGGAAATTTGGAATTGGTGCACACTATGTTATGACCTTAGTGACTAAACCTCTCCCTATAAGATCAAAATCTATGGGACCTCATTCCAGAAATTCCACAGGGTACCACACTATATAGGCATAGCAAAACACCCATAGCGCTGCAATCACAAAAAGTTCATGCCCTTGGCAGGTGGCACAATTCCACTGAAATCAGGTGTGTAAACGGACACCTGCTAAGGATGTGGTTGTTATTCAGAGACAGTAGGAAACTACAGCCCAGCCAGTGACCACAGGTGGATATTTCTTTTTTGCAGCCTACTGCCTCCCCCTCAGTGAAAGAGGCAGAATGTCCCTCCATCGTGGATGAAAAAAAAAGAAAGAGACGTTACTGTCTTTATCAGGCTATTTGCATATAGCCTTAATTGTCATTGCTGTTGGCCCAGACCAATTAGAGTAGAAATGACTGTAAGGGAGGAAGGAGACAAGTCTGGAAAGTCCCCCTCTGACTTCTGTCTCTTAAAATCAGTTACTCTCCCATTTACACCCGTTCCAAACGATCCAGGAAACATTCAGTTAAGTACTTAAATTTAAAGAAAAACACAAATATTTACACTTGCAAGCTGCATCATGCAAAACAAATGGTAATTACTAAATTCTGAATTTCTAAATTTCTAAATTCTGAGCTAAATGAAGCAGAACCCTGGGGAAGAAATAAAAAAAAAAAAATCTCCTTTGCTTCATTTACGTATTTTGCTTTCCAGATGTTGTCTCTTTTGTTGTTGATTTCTTAATAAGCACAATCCAAGAAAGCCAAGAAAACAGTACCATGCTGAGCAATGGAAAAATAGAGGGGACAGTAGGAAGTTAAAATAAAAATTAGTTGCCTCCCCCACAGAAGAACCATCCTACGTAAAAGACCTGCTCCCTGTGGGTGCCTGGTTACTTCCACTTATGTTACAAAACCACTTTACAGTCTTATTTTTGCCTCAACCTTCATAGCCCTACAAAGCTCCCAAAGGCCAGGAAAAAAAAAGTCAGACCTGAGACTGTCTCATATATCAAAATGTTTGAGGTCTCAGTCACAGAAGGTACCAGTGGAGGGAATGTAAGTCATAATGAGAACCTAGCTTAACTCTTGGACAGCAAGGGTTTCTGACTATGATCCACAAACCATTTTTTTTTCCTGCTTACTATTCCAAGTGGATGAGGAAAAAAAAATATTTTTATGCAACTGGTACTTATAGGTTGGTCTTACTGCTGTATTCTGCACTACTCATTCTTTAGTTTTTACCCCTATAAAGGTGGCAGTCTTCTATGCATTATGTCTTCAGCACACACGAGGGAATCACTGGACTGAGAGCATAGATGAACAGAGGGAGGTGTGCTTAGGTGTTGTGCTTTGTCACTTCTCCCCTCCAGCATTCCCTGACATCTTCAGGTCCAGCAGCACCTTCCCAGTGGAGCAGGCTTGCCCAAGAAACCATTCCCTCGGAACAAAGATGGAGAGCCAGACAGACCACTCAGGCTTCAGGATAATGAAAAGCAACCCATGAACTGACTTGAGGTTGTATTTTTCAGTTCATTTCTTTGTGATTCATTTACCTGATCAACATCATGTTTTTCAAACTCCTGTAGCTGCCTCTGGAAGCCCATGTTAGGATTGGCACAGGATCTCGCTGCTCGGACAACAGACAGCGCATCTTCCCAACCAAAGTCTGTGATGGTCATGATGTAGGCAACTACCAACGTTACACTCCTGGAGACACCTGCAAGGCTGGACAACAAAGGTGGTGTAATAAATAGATGAAGTATAGCACTACTTCAATTACAGTTAAAAGCATCACGTCCCAACACTACAGCAGGCTGCTGTGTTGCTTACCATCACGAAGAAATATTACTATATTTGAGTTGTGTTTTTTGCTACTGCATTTTCAAATGCATCACAATAAATCTATGTACAAGATCAAGAATCAAGTGTTCTGAATGATAATTCATATAAGATTGGTAAGGAAGGAAAAAGTTTTAAGTCTTCACAGGAATGTGCGTGTTCTAAGTCAGATCTGATTTTTTATTAAGCTAGAAATAATTCACCCACATTTTTTGCCTAGACACATTAGAGCAGTGAAATTAGACTATTCTTCATTACCATGAATTTCAGCTGCAGTTTCATGGGGCTGAAATGAACTTTAACTTGATTGTTAAGTACAGGATCCTGTATGTTTGAGTTCTTTTCCTCTTTCTATTGTCCATGCACTGTGCAATTTCAGCTCTCCAGACTCCAGTTTCCCCACCTGAAACCCTGGGATAAAGTAAGCACCATTTACTATTATTGATTCCACAGCTCTGGACAAAAAATCCCAGCTATTACTATTATGAGCGTAAGGAATGTGTCTGGAGTACAAATGTATCAGATATACCTTCCCTTGGCATTTCCAGAACATTATATGGCTTTGAAGTGCTTTAGAAATATAAATAGGCTTTTTTAAAACACTCCCAAGACTCAGGCAAGTTATCCCTGTTTTACACACACGGAGACTGGCTAAACGACTTGTCCACAGCCCTGTCGTGAGTCAGCAGCAAACTGACAATTTATGCTAAGGACCTGCATACAAGTTCAGTGTTCAAATCATGAGATGACTCTGACTCCACATATAGACTCAGACATGTCACTTGGACATACAGTAGAAGGACTACAACCAATAGCAGAGAGCAAGAAAAAACCCAGGGTAAGATCTCCTTTTCTACTCTCTAAGGTCCCAGGAGCATCTCTCCAATCAGGGACTTGCTATTAACAACTGCAGTGTTTGAATGCTTCAGCAGTTCAAAGCATGAGGAAAAAAAAAAAATCTGTTCAGAGGAAAAACTTTAACAACTCTGAAGTCACCAAAATAGCTGTTATAGAAACTGATCTAAATTGACCTAATTATTAGGATTTTAGGAGCCTTTTTTGGAAATACAGTGATGAACAATAATGGGAAATAAATAAGATCTTTCTAGTCAGAGAGATTTTTGAAAAGACCTATCAAAAGGTTTGATTGGAGAGAAAAAAAATCAGGAAATCTTTGGGTTCCTTATATCTTTAAGGAGCCACCCAATCCAGTGACTCAAGAGTCCTAGTTCTGTGAGTCTTGTAATAGCACTTGTAAATCTTCGGGGCTCTTCAAGTAAAGGGAACATCCAAGAGGATTTTGCTATAAAAATGCACATGAATGCTAACTTATCATTAAGATGATAAACATCCAAATAAAGGCACAGAAACTCTTACAAAGGTGTTTTTAAGCAAGTCATATACATACCAATGAACTAGACAGCCTTCACCCGTAAGCCGGCACTCATGGATAAATTTGATGCTCTCTCTGAAATGCCTTGCCCTGAAAACAGAAACACAAGGGGAACACAGAAACTGTTCTATTTAGTAAAATCACTACTTAGAAAAAAGAGAAATGTATCTGAAAGCTCACTTAATGTTGTTTCTAGAATTTAGAACTGAATATGGGACTTGCAAGGCAAAAGTTAGTGTCTGCCAATAAAAAACAAAACTGATTGGTATACGTATTCTCCAAGCTACCTGAAGAAGAAACTGTTATCATAGGCACTACAGTGTGATAAACATTAGCAAATACTTTATTTTGATGACTGGCAAGTCTGTACTTCAGTCTTTGTCTCATTCCTCTTCGGACTAGTAACCTGGCCTAATATGTCCTTGAGTATGCTCAGATATCAGGTGAAACTCAGAATGGCTATGTGAACCATTCCCAAAGTACGTTGCCCTCTTTCAAAGAGGTATCCGTTACCTGCTCTCCAAACTTGAGTTGCCTTTGACTTCATCTCCTCCTTCAAACCATGTACTAGGACACGTGTAAGTCTTACGTCTTTCTTCTTTGTCTCAAACCTCTCCCTTCTATCCCTGCTATGAAAAATCTCAGTACCTCCCAAATTTGCCTATACATCAACTATTTCTAGGCTTATTGCATCAGCTTCCTCAAACGCACCTAGCATTAGGTGCAAAATTCCTCTCCTAGATTTTTCAGATCTCAGTATAAGCTGTGCCCCTTCTGCCTGCCCTTATTTAGGGTATCAGCCAAGCCCTGCCTGCAGCTTATTTCTTGTTAAGTAGTGTAGGAGAACATGTGGAGAAGATAAATACTTAGTTTACAAATTGTACAGCCACACTCATTATCCTTTACATATGCCTCTTCATTTTAACTAAGGCAAACCTGAAGGAAAGGAACTGACAACCTCTACCAGCAGCAAACTGCAAACATCACAGCAAATTTGCAGCCTCACTTCTTAGCATCCCCACCCCAAGTCATTCACCCCTGCCTTTGCCTTTCAGGCTGCAAAACCTTTGGCACGGCCTGCAATTCATTACAAGTGCAAGCAGCACCTCACAGTTCAGTGGAACTGAAGTTCAACTGTGGCCTTCGAGTGCTCCTGCAACTTAATCAGTAGCGATGCGTGCAGCACATATGCAGAGGAGAGAGCTCCTTAACGAGACACTCAGTCACAGGCTTACTGGCAAAGATAAACCTAAAAGCATGCTGCACTCAACACCCATGAAAGCAATGTCCTATACTCAAGATGTTTCCCCTCTCTGAGTGAATGTTTTACCACAAGGGTTAATAAAAAAAAAAAAAAAAAAAAAACCCTTCAGCCCCAACATGAGCAGCCACAGAAAAATCAAGAATGCCCAAACAAAAGGAAGCTTCCCTTCCTGCCCAGCTGTTGATACTATAGACGCGCAGAGCTGGAGGAGGACATAAGTAATGCAAAGGAGTGATGGAGCCTGTGGAACCTGCAAAGGCAACGGTGTCTAAGGAAAAAGAGGGAGTCCAAAGCCCCGGACTCCCTCTCCAAGGCATTCCTTGCATCACTGAACACAATGTGGACAGAACAGCTGAAGGCTTGAGTGACTTATTTGGAAAAAGATCTCCTGAGGAATGATGTAATCCCAAGCTTTCAGATAGCAGGTCAGCTCAGGATTTTTCCTTTCTCGGGAAACTGATCAAGTACATGGGATGAGTGAAGAAGAGGAAGGAAGCCTTACAAATGCATTTCTGTTCAGCTTTGAAACAGACTGCTACTCCAAAACATTTTCACTGGCCGAGTTCCAATAAATCGCGGCATGCAGGTCTGTATGGGATATTACCAGCTTCATATAAATTAATTTAGGACAAATCAGACTATGGGTTGCACATGCAAGAGCTGTTGCTATTGCGCAATGAAGGAGCGCTTGTCCAAGATTAAAGGGATTTAACCAAATGAAACTTGGTTAGGGCTGGCCTGACCACACCCCAATCTTCTCATGCACCCATCTTCTTTTCTCTCTCTCTCTCCAGAAAATCTTGCCAACAAGGCAGCTCCAAACACCAGTATTCTCAGTTCAATGGTCTAGCAAAGTTTTGGTTAAACACTTCGACGCTTTAGGTTGAAAAGAGTCTTTGAATGAGCATAGCACCTTTGCAAGGTGCCAAACACAGCTAGCCATGTGCTTCATTCATTGTTTTATTCACCTTTCCTTATGGCTGGCACTCAGTCTGCCGAAACACTGTCAATTGTAATTTGCATAAATGCCTTTAGACATTTACAAGAGAAATAGCCATGCTTGTGATTAGCACTACTTTGTAGAACCATGACCCTTCCTCACTTATAGTTAGAGGGGAGGAAAAAAGCCCTCTTCCACAAACTATTGCATCAGTCTCTGCTGGCTTCAGCAGACACAGTTACCTAAACTCACTTTCGGGTTAGGGCACAAATTATTGTATAGGCAAACTGAGATTCTGAAGATCAGTTAACAGCGTGGCAAGTGGCACAGACACATAAAAGAACAGCAAATCTGATGTTAACGACAAAATAGCTGATCAACTTATGTAATAGGAAAACATTTTGACAAATGTGTCGATTTACAGACTATTTGTTGACTTGAACAATTACTTCAAGACAATTTATTACAAGGTATCTGGCTTTTACATCTCACAGCTTAAACGTGGGTCCTGAACTGCATCTTCTCCACAGCGGTAAACATCACAGGAGGAAGAATCAGTTACAGGGCCCCTACAAGCACGTCGTAAATTAACTACACTTACCCACTAACAAAGCGGATAATCCCTAACAAGTCAGATGGCAGATCCCAGATCTACATCACAGTTGCTGGTCAGATTTCTAAGAGTTTTAAAGGTTACAAAGAAAGCACAAAAACAGATAGGAAGAACCATCTTGAGGTTTCTTTCCTTTGCAATTTAAGTGCAACTAAGATCCACCTGAACTTCTTTTCTTAATAGGTTCTCTAGCTTCTGTATTGTCACCTCTTAGCAGCCTGACCAAAACTTTAATTTTAACCCCGCTGCACTAACAAATTGGATGTTAGCTCCTTAAAAATACATAGCCTAAGACAATTAGCTAGAACAGGACAGGAAGGGAAGATACGATTTCTACAGAATTAACTTAGTAGTAGTGGATTCTGCGGGAGATGCCACTTCTGGGGAAGTTAATGGCCCAAGGTAAAAGTCTCACATGCCAGAAAGAGGGGAGGGGACAAAAAAGCAAACAAACAAAACACAACCACCTCGTTGAAGTCCTAGGAAACACCTCAGGTCTCAAAAGCAACCGCTTCATTCATACGCTAGGGAGGAGCAGAAAACAGGAGTAGGGGCAAGCTTTCCAGCCGCTTTAGTGAACACCTATAGATTAACCCTGTTGTATTTCACTGCAGCTCATTCCCCTTAGGAAAGGGGCTCCAATAAACAAGTTTACTGCAAGTACACATGTATTACACACATAGAAACCAAAAGTTCGCTTCAGAAAAACTGAGCTGAAGTGAATTAAGAGTTAACAATCCCAAATTCAGTGATTAACAGCCTTCAGCCGAATCCTTTCAAGCTGCCAGCAGTTGCAAAGTAGCATCAGAGTTTCAGAAACGTCTCTGGACAAACCTGCTTTTGAGTCAGACAGATAAGACTCCAATATGCATCCCATCAGTTGTGCCTGCTAGCCATTGCTAACAAAACACAAGAACCTGCAACAAAACACAGTGCTATTTTTTTTTCCTAACACCACCAGAATCTGTCTTTGAAAGAAGATAGATCTATAAAGATGTTGCTTGCAAAAAGATTCCCTTTCTTTCTCCCCAACTATCTCTTCCTCCTAAGAGCACACACTGTACTGTAAACTACTGTTTGATAAAATTTTATTGAATCCTCATAGACTTAATAAAAATAGCTTTCTCTGGCCTTCAGAGGATCATATGTGAAAAGCAAGCAGCATCGCTACTTGCGGACATCGTGATTTCATTTTACTTGAAGTTCTGGATTGTATAAAGCAAAAAGAAAAATCAGTTACTCATCAAGTTTTATTTTAAGTGATCAAGTGTATCGGTATTAGAAGTAATGACGTTTGCCTGCAACCATCTGATACCAAAGTAAGTATTGTGGATGCCTGCAGCACAACAGAAACAACACTCATGCAAATGTTATATCTTCTTACTGAAGCTTTAAGAGCTGTGGTACGGTGCCAGACAGTTTAAGTGCTGGAGGTGGCTTTTCAATATAATCCTGTGATATGTAACAGTGAGGGATGGGCTGAATTGTACATTAACATTCATCACGTTCATTAACATTCATCAGAAATGTTGTCCTTTCTATTTTTGTTCCTGAATTGATCGAGATCTCTATTAACATAGGAGGCAGATTTGCCAAACATTTTCACAAATGTTTCATAAATTGCAGAGTACCAAAAGACAATAAAGATAGCTCCATGTGAGTATTTCCCTCTAATCTCAGATTTTTTCCTTCACAAAAGGATTAAAAACTCCTCCTCTTTTTAAGCAGTAAGGCCACAAATGCAGTTTGCTGCCTATGCTTCTGGTCTCTGACAAAGCAGCACACAAAACTGTTGCAAAATCAGAAGGACTGAGAAATCACAATCTACTGTTTAATTGAAATCCTGCTCTAAAAGGAGCGCAACTGATAATACTGATGATTCCCTATCCTATTGCTTTTAAGAAACATGGACCCCTTGAATTTTTACTGATCAATCTCCTCTATAGGTATTTCATACTCCTATGGTGAGGAAGGAGGGGGAAGAAGGTACAAGCAAAATGATCTGCTTTCTTATTACTGAACCTGTCTTGAAAATTAGGGGTTGCGGGGGAGGGTGGAAGTGTTTCGTTGGTGGATTTTTTCCTTTTTCTTTCTTTTTTTTTTTTAATCACAACAGAAGTGTGTCAGAATGAAAAGGCAAATCAACACACATCAAATGCCCCACTGGAATCTTTCTAGGGTACGAGAAACAAATGCTCTAAAAATATCCACCGAAAGCATCAGCCGGAATATTGCTATGATGTGAGAGAAAAGCAGTGCTCTGTTTCCTTCCGTACATACCAGGCCTCTTTCAAGTACTTCTGTTTCTCTACAAAACTTGCTAGCAGGATGTGGCTGAAACCCCCCTCATCTCTCCCCAACATAAACATTGAGCTCTATAAGAAAAAGTTGGTTACTATCCAAATTCTCTTACAAAATGTGTTTTGATTACTCTTTGGAATCAAGATTTCTCATGTACCTTCAGCTCAATGGTTCAAAGTATTAAAACCAAGGACATGTCAATTGGTATTTCAGAGCAGCTATTCACCCAATTAACACTAACAGAGATGAGAAAGTGGGAGGTTGGCACACGGTAGTTTCAGCAGATATGTCTTCAGGGCAAGAATCGCTTTAGGGCAGACAAACTCTCCGCCCTACCAACCTAATAGTGAAGAGCACTGATGTTTTCAAAGGAAGGAGCAGATAATCCAGAGCAAATAGTTGTAGGGTTAGTTTGCACACTGACACTCTACTTTGAGGGCCCACTGCAAAGAATTTATCCTAACCTTGGAACCACAAGGCTCCCCATCTCTTTCAATGCTTTCTTCTTTACAGTGGCCAAAGACAGTGCTAATGAAAAAGAACAGACAAGAAGATCTACAAAAACAATGACTGGAATAAGCTGGGAATAATTAAGAGCAGACTCACTGAGGAATCCCTAAAGTTTAAGGCTACTTATGCAGAAGAGTGTTCACACACTGACCCTCCCACAAACCCTTACACACAAAAAGGAGGATCAGAACCAAAGCAGCTGCAAGACGACCTTGCTGTGTTTTCTTAACAGATTAAGAACATATTAGTGCAATACTTAGGAGAGATCAGAAACAGATCCTTTAGCGCATTATAAAACAGGCACCACAGTATTGTGGGACTTCTAGGTTTTTGCTTTTTATTATTAAAGAAAACTTACAAGTTCTGTGAGGGCGAGTCAGCAGCAGGAATGCACAGATACTTCACTTTCTGTGTGAAGAAGTAAAAGGAATGAGAAGAAAATATCAAGATAAATATATTTGTCAGCTATTAGTGCATGAGTTCTGCTCTAGACTGCTGCAGTTTTATTGACTATTGTGAGAAAGGTGTACCATTATTCAGACAAGAGGAGATCATCTCTATGCAGCCACATTTTAAAACACTGGTTTTGCATCTCCTTTGTTGCTAAAACACCATCATATAGCTTAGTCATGCTTGCCCCAAAGTCCAGGAACAAGCTTTTTAAAAATAGAAGTGTCTTTACTAAAAGGGTGTAAACCTCATATTCAAAATCTAATTCTTTTTACATTTCTAGTACAACTAAGTTGCATCTTCTCCTGTTTTGCTTTCTCAGATCAGATACTACAATTGAAAATTGTGAAGAGCAATTTCTTTTAATTCCATGCAATCGTTTTTCCTTACCTAGTTTACAAACTAAGTAAAATGAAAAGCAACAGGGGTTTATCTTTTGGGGGAGAGGGGGGTGGGGACTTCGAGAAGGACAACTGTAAAATTCATGCTTTTCTTGTACAAAGTCAGCCTCACTTTCTTAGTCAGCTATCATAATGAGTTACATGATCAGTTAGGGAAGTTAGATAACCATTTCTGATATATTAAAAGTGTTACAGTGTGTATTTAAAACAACACTATAATCATACACTCCTGCTTTGCATTGTCAACGCTCATTTTAACAGTTCCCCCCACCAAAAGCTTGTCTTGCTCCTATGACTGTTAAGAAAAAACACTTCTGAAAAGCATATTCAACTGACTTCTCAAATGGGACTTCCAAGAACACAAAAAGTAAATCATTGGACGTCTTTCTACTTATCAAATATACTTGATATCAAGTTATGAATTTTTCAGATGTATTTGTTAAGATAAGGATTCAGAGAAAAAAGCCCACCACAAAAAGCACCTTAGGTTATCTCTCTGTAACAATGCAAGTCCCCTTCATAAGCACGCAGTTCAAACACTGACACACATGGCGAATCATACAGCCTGTCTATAAGTTATCCTTCAAGCGATATGTTTGCCAAACAAGCTGAAACATAACATGCCTCTTCCAGGCATTTCATTTGCCATTTGGGGTAGAGAGTGAAAGGCTCACTGCTCAACTGTGATGGCTACCTGAGGCAGCATCTTCTCAAATACTACCTTTGTTTAGTTGGGTCAGAAATCCCTCTTTACCCTCCCCCTACACACACTTTGTTACTTTACTTGCTATACTACACCAAAGAGTAATAACTCCTTTCATAAAAGGTCCTGACCCCCAGCATCATGATGCACTATCCTCCTTACCCTCTGCACGATGCATGAACTTCATTCACTGTGCCTGAAGGGATGTGGTGATCTCTTGCCCCCACCTCTTTACCACCACTTAATGCACCATTTTCTCAGCCTGCCCGAATGAGAGCCTGCCCTGCCTCCTTCATGCTTTGCCAGACCTCCTCGCTTTGACAGGCCAAACCTAGCATGCCACAACCAGAGCAGAGACACTTGCTGTCTACAGCTGTCGAGTTCGGGGAACGTACAGCCAGAGCGTGGAAGACTTTGGAGACAGACACTGAGTGAGGAGATGGGGATGTGGCAGTGCCTGACGAGGGAGAAGGCACCCTTGTGCCGATGCCAAACCAATGCACTGAGAACATGGGGTGGTTTGCATGGGAGCTGCATGGCAAAAGACAGCTGAGGGGAAAGAGAATAGGAAGGAAGTCAGCTAGCAAACTGAAGCAGCCTGCTGCTGGAGGGAACCACATCAACAGGTGACAAGTCCATCCTGCCCTACGCCAGCATAAAGGAGGCCTGCTGTGGAACAGCAGAATAGCTCCACAGCACACAGTGTAGACGTATTCGTTTAGAAACGGAATGTAGCAATAGTCTATAAACTGATAGGCAGCTGAGCCAACGATGATAATTATCTTATGACAGATAATTACAGTAATTATCTTCTTGCATGATGCATCTGAGAGGTTTATCTTTGACACTAGCATCACTTCAAGTGAGTCACTCCAGTAGAATTGGGACTTGTGACCTGAAAGTAAATTTACATGCTCTTCTTTCCCCCACACCTCTAGACAACTCCATGCCATTAATTCTGCATCATCAAAAGAAAACATAGGTAGGAGACGGGTTAACTCCAGCATGCACTATAGGACAAAACGTTCACTCCTGCTTAACTGATTCAAGCTGTTCCACAGATTTCAGAAGCTACGGCACGTGTTGAGTGCTTTTCACAGACCAAGCGCGGAGGGGCTTTCAGATCATGTTCACTTTAAAAGCAGAAGTAGCACCAGCACAAGTTTAAGACCCACAATGTTCTTTTTTTTTGTCACGGTTGGCTAGTTCCCACTACCACAAAGCAAGCATGAAACTAGCATACGAGAGACCACACATGGTACTGAATGGCTCATCCAGAGTCTGATCCTGGAGGTCTTCAGCACCTACAACTTCCAGCAAAGCCTACAACATGCCTTTCATTACTGTGTTCACAAATGCTCAGCATCAGTCTATCAGTCCAATTAATACATATTCTCAAACAGGAGAAGGTTAAAGTTACTGGAATTTAGTACTTTGACCAATGCACGTTTTTGGAAGGCTGTGGTGATGGACTCCTCCCTGTGAGGAAATAATTACACACTCAATTCAGAAATAGTTAGAGGTGGGATCTCAAAAGTACTGTACAATGACCTCACGCTGCTCCCACAAAAATCAACAGTGAAACTCTCAGCGACTTTGACCCGAACACAGTTTGGCCAGACTTCATAACTCCTGAGGATCCCACCCTACCAAGTTTTACTTCTCTTCATTAAAAAAAAAAAAAAAAGTCAAATCTCATTCATCATAACTAGATAACTGAAATATAGTAACTGCACAAGATTGTATGGGACAGGTATTCTGAAATGAGGTCCTAGGGATTTTCTGTGTAGAGATTCAGATTTTGCTTGCTGGAATTGGTTTTGCCTCATATATGCTGGACACCTTTTCCTTCTTTAAGATATTGGCAATAGGAAGCTACTTACTGAACTCTGCTGTCTGTGATCATTTTTGTAAAGCCTACCCAAGATCATAATGTTTTTTGTATGTTTGTGCCTCAAGACACTGTTGTCCTTCCTGTGCACATACCCTGCAGATAACATCTAAGAATTCTCCCAAAGGGACCTCTCAGAGCAGAACAGTTCACGTCAACAGAACAAGTAAATACTGTCAGTTCTGCAACATTTTAAACGCGCTACTAGCATGCAGGAAAGATACAGGTATCACTATTTTAGTATCTAGCAGAGTTTGCTTACCATTCTAGAACTGCAAAGTATAAGATATATGAAGGCAACAACAACCATTGAAACACAGTGACCAAGATGTCATAAGCCAAAACAAAAGATTTTGGAAAAGTCAAGTAGACCATTTCCCAGTGAAATTTTCAGTAGGTTCTGGAAACAGTACCTGATCTCTACTTTGATTCAAGAAGCTTTACTGTTTGCGAATGCAACGCCTAAAGTTGAACTAAAATGCTATGTTAGTTAACACGGGAAGACAAAATGCAAAATTGATGTTAACTCATCAATTCTTTGTTTGTTTAAAAAAAAAAAAAGGGACACTGCTTTTCCCCCTAGGAAAGACATAATTCCCTAAAAATTATGCGGGGGGAGAAGGAGGGGATAACACAAAACAGGTATTGTACTACTTCAACTTACATACTCCCAGATCAAATCAAAGCTCTTAGGTCAATGAGAGATGGTGAACACAGCTTGTGTCATTTCTCATTTCACTACTACTCTCCAGTTGTTACTTTTAAATCATTGGTCACATTCCTTTCTACAACAACCACCTTTACCTACAAACATCTACCCTCCATGCGTACACTTTCTAAACTTGTTTCTTATTATTCACATAAGGACCCTCATCGATGCCCTTATCGATTACAAGCAATCCTGTTCCACTTAGTGCATTTAAAGCATTAAGACTATAAAATCAATATAATAAAACATCATTTACTCTTCTGTTTTCTGTTTCAGCAGAGTAACCACCAAAACTAGATTTGTCTCTCTTAGGCCCTGAAACTAAATGCTACAGTTAAACCGATACAGTGAGAGCTAACAAAACTAGAGCAAGTATTATGATTTCCAGATTGTCAAAGTTGAAACAAGCGAGAGTTAAGTAAAATTTCTAAAATTCGCTGTTATTTGAGAAACAATGACTACACAGTTGCACAATTTCATCATAGATTCTATAACTAAGCCAGTCCTGCTACAATGAAAGTTGAGGTACTGAAAAAAAAAAAAAAATTAGGTGCGCACATACATATATGCAGATGTTTTATGCTAAAGCTTAAAAGCTATTAACAGAATTGGAAGCATTTTCAAGTTTCTAATTAGTTCAGATGCTTATCTGTTAGGATTGGAATCTGAACAGTTATTTCACATTTGAAAAAGTCATTTAGATTACAATGCAACACCTTTCTCATTTCATTAGTTTCAAAAAAGGATATCTTTGTTTTTAAATTCAGTAATTCATATGAAGAACTCAAAAAGTAACAATCCAGTTCAAACAGCCCATTTCTATTGTATTCATCTATAGCTTACAAAAGAAAGACTCCAGCTACGTTTTAACCAAACTTGTAAAAACTGGCATTTAGGTTTTCATAGTGGAACATGCAGAATTTTGTAGTAGCAAAATGACACATCTACATGAACTACATGTCAGATAATAGGTCAATGACTGAGAATGGGATCTCTAAAGAGCACGTAGAAATTTGATCTCACAATACTAAGAATAATTTCAACTCCAAACAGGATGAGGTTCAAAGAACAGTGCTGTGGAAGGAATGCAGCATATATATGGACATATATATGCTCCTGTATTATGATCAAAGACATTCTGAAGTCATTAAGAACGATGCTCAATTTGACTGCAGCCTAAATCATACTAACATTCAGTTTATGTTATATAAAAACACTGGACAGTCCTCTTTTAAACTTTGAGTACTCTAACAA